CAAATACCGTCAGTGGCGAGAATCACAAATTCGGTTGCATCCTTCACCTCTACAATCGTGATCTCAGGCTTGCAAATCAATCCACTGATTTTGCAACCACTCTTCTGCACGTCTCCGAGTGCCCGGGACACCTGCACTTGGCCATCCACATAAACTCCATCGACATTGACGCCTAGATCCATGAGCCGTTGTTTTTCCGCCTTGTTCTTGTCAGGCGAATGATCGGCAGTTTTGTCTGCCACCTTCGCTGATTCGCACACCACAGCTCTGCAGTCTCCAAGATTCAGCAAAATTAGTTCCTTCTCTTGGAGAAGTGCTGCGCATGCAACCGTCCCGGAGGACGTCCCTGTCGAGAAGACCTTGGCCTCGTCGGCCAATTCTTTCTGCATCTGCTGGTCCGATGCGAGGAAGGCATCGATGGCAGCTTGCTCCTTGTCTTTCGACTTGCGCAGGTTGGAGTCGAGCTGCTGGGGCAACAGCTTCTGGGCAAGTTTGGCGGCCGTGTCACCTCCATGCCCGTCAAACACTGCAAAGCACTTGTGGCCTGCAATGCTTTCTTCGATGGCCACTGCATCCTCCATCCTGGCACGATCATGCCTTGCAAAGGCAAATCCGTAGTCCTCATTACCTCCACTGCCGTACTCCGGCAACCCAGACCCCTCCTTGTTCCTGATCCCGCAGCAGTCGCAAAAGTTGCCCATTGCGGCAGCTGCGGGTTACCAAGGGATGAAGCCGGATTAGAACAACACAACAAGCGCTATGTACGTGCCGGAAGGCTGCGCAAAAAACACGCTAAATGTCCTCGCTCATGATACCAAAAAACATGTTTTGGCATGGTGCTTCAGCCTTTCTCTGCGCATGAGCCTTGAGACTATGCAAGATTGCCCAGGGTCTGCCAAGTTGATGCGACCGCAAATCACTCAACTCACTGCTACTCCTGCCAACCTGGCAGCTCGAGATTCGACACATCCTACGGAAGGTGTCTCAACCTATTTTCAACTTAGAGTACCAGAACCCAGAGTAGCGTGAAAAAGGCGCAGAAGGAAGCTGCTCGAATTACCGTCTTGGTACAACAGCAACTACAAGGTCCTGCGCAACTGACTTGAAAACATCAGGCATTGCACAACAGGCTGCCATCGAGGGCCCGACCCGCCGACGCACTGGCTTCCCCACCTTGGGACATTCTACACGGTCGCACGCACCGTCTCCCGTGACCGGCAATGACGAGCGAAGCGAAAAGGCCAGCAAATATGGAGCTCAGAACCCGGCAAAAGGTGGTCCCAGTAGGAGAGCTTCCCTCTAGCTCCGCGGTGCGCCGGAAGGTCGCCAAAGCCTGATAATGTGGCCCAATTCTGTTCCCGTTTGTTCTGAGCTACGTTGCTCAGCTGATCCACGCAACCGCCACTAGCTCTTAGGCCATTGCTTCTGGGGAAACTGATAAAAGCTGATAAGAGATACCTCATTGCTGCGAGTAACATTACCACTATGACTGGTATTGCTACAAATACCAATGCCGACTGGGGCAGCGACCTCTCGGTTCATCCCAGCTTGCAGCCTGTGGTCAAGTCCATTCATAAATTAAACTCGCTCAGAGTTGCCCTGGGACTGCAGGCGTTCAAGTCAGTGCGCATCATAGGAACTGCATGGGAAGAGACCCTTGAACAAAACTCGCTGTTTTGCTATCCCTGTGCCACGTAAGCTCGGCAAACAGTTATAGTTATGAAGTTGTGGCAACAGAATGTAATAGAGAACGTCGGAAGTGGTGCTGGCAGTTGCAGTATTCGTCGTCGTCGCAGTCCAGTTCCGGTCTGTCCCAGCCGTTGTACATTGGTCGTAGCCGATGTCGTCGTCGTAGTCGTTGTGGTGGTCGTCGTGGTCGCGGCGTGGTGGCGGTCGCGGTCGCGGTCGCGGTCGCGGTGATGGTGGGTGAATCAAAAGTTGTCTTCGTCGTAGCAGCCGTAGTTGTCGTCGTGTAGTACTGGTACTGGTCCACTGGTCGTCGTCCGCGTCCTCCTCGTCGTGTGCTGCCAAGGCTGAAGGACTACAAGATTGTCGGGCCTTCAGAAACTCAGGGAAACCCTGACGGCTTCTGCGAGTTCACAGGAAGTTCATGGAGACCGGAGAGCTAAAAGAGACTGAGTTGCGGGTGTAAGCGCCACGCAAGTGCAAGTGAGATCCTTGTAATTAACTTTCCGAGTATCTCGAAAACTGCGCTTGCATGTCAGAGACTTTGGGGTCGACTAATTACTTGCTGCCGTTAGACTGAAGGGAGCTGATTCAGCCGCGCCGGCCCTATTCCAGGGGCGGTAGGGTCGCTTCTCTGCTTCTCTCCCAGGTTCTGAGCAAGTGCACCTCGCGAATGCCAGGAAACCTGCCAAAGGAATCGACGCAGCGCATGGGTGGTTATCAAAAGTAAAGTCCCTTTTTGGGTACCCTATATATTAGGTGCCGTATTACAATAGGGACCCAAAAAGGGACCCTAATTTTGGCACCCATCAAGACAACGGCCATCTTTTGGGATGCGAGCAAAAGGAAGCTGGGACCCTGGAGCCGGGCCTGCAGCCCTTGGAGTCGATGTATATTCCAGAGCTTTCCGGAAGTAAATCTCCTGGGTACCAAGGCAAGACTGGGGGGTGAGGGAAGTGATCTTCTTAATGGGGCGGCCATGTCTTGAAGGGACGGATTCTTGGGAGGTTGTCTGCTGCAGATTTTCCCATGTAAACATCTCCATTCTACAACCACTTCTCTCCAACAACCCATGTCTGCCGTCTTCGGAGTCCAGAATTCAGACAAGGGCCACCATGAGTCTCCGAAAGCCACGACCTGGAACCTGCAATCGCTTTTATAAAGCAAGAAACACTGACACCCTCGAGCCCTGAACCCTAGACCCTGAAGACCTGAGCAACAGCTCCAGGAAGATTGAAACACGCGAAGACCGCAAGACCCCACTATCTCCCAAAGCCAGATGCACTCACCCCCGCGACAGCAAGAAGGGGTATCAGGTCCTAACCCCCGAAGCTGAACCCTGAACGACCCTGCAGCCTAAACGTCCCTGTAAATGGCTAAGTCCCTGGAGCGGCTCCGCAAGACTTGGCGAAGCTTCGCGCATCAACCGCAAAGCCTGCAGAGCTTCGATTCAGAGCGGTTCAGAGGGATTCAGGCTCTCATGCAAGGATGCCTGGGGCCTAGATGACATCGCATGGAGTCGAATTCGGCGGCGTAATGAGTTGTAGTTCATATGTACATCTTTCGTTTTCCATGACTTCTTGGCGGACTCTGGACTTCAGGAGTTCGGCCGACTATCTGCAAAATAATCCGGCTATTCATACAGAGACAAAGAGGCTCTGGCCGTCGGCCTTGTCGCTCAGGCAGGCCACAAACTTCCTCGGATGCGCATCACACGATCAGTGCTCGGCTCCGCAACACGAACCCTCATGGCACCAGGGGCAGGGATAGGCAGGGGCTAACAGAGGTTAGGTCGTCAGACGAATTCCGCACCAGAGCTGACTGGAAACCCGAAAGCCGACTGTTGGCCTTGCGAGGTCAAAGGGATGGCAAAGCTGAGGAGGCTGCGGTCCGACGTCGCAGCATCCGAATGCTCCAGCACGCGGGTCATCACGTTCCTGTACTGCTGCACTTGCACACTTCGGGATACGGACGCGCTTCTTAGGTTAACGAGGTAACGAGATAAGGCACTGCAATGCCTTCGCCTGGGTCCCTGCAGTTTGGCCTGTGATCTGAGCTCGACCTGCCCCGAAGGCCTGCAAAGCACGAGCGTGAGCGTCGTGCGTCACCTCCCAAGACTAAGAAGTTGCGGCAGAGGTACTTCTATGAGGGCAGCTTCTGCACTGCAATCCGTGACGAGGATTACTATGACCTCTTCAGGCAGTCTCAGCGAAATTACTCTACACATGTATTATGTATGTATTCATATATATATATATATATATATATATAAATGAGTGTGTGTGTGTATGTGTATATATATATATATATATATATATACACTCTGGATATGCCTGGCCTCTGAAAGTCCGAGCATCTCGGCTGCACAGCTGCAGGCCACCGGCAGCTTGCGCAACCTACGGCCATGTGACGATCGGATATCTGAGCGGTACTACACTCAATTTAAGCATGTAGGCTGCGGCTCTGCGCTTGTACACAACAAGCCCGTGCGTGCTCAGTCTAAGCTGCCGGCGCCTTCGGCGAAAGAGACGTCAGCAGTGGCCGGGCTTGTTCTGCCTCAGATGCTTCCTGTCAGTGTCGAAGGCGTAGACTATCGAATGTGCTTGCATATTGCAGCCCGATGCAATCGTGCCACTTGCAAAGGATAGTCCTCCAATAGGTACCGGCCCAAAGCGCACCTGGCAACAGCGATCACACCAAAAGATTACGATTCACAAGGGTCCGAACCACAGCAACAAGGTGAACAGCGGGTCAAATTACAAGCGGCAAATCCAGAGAGAGCGCTGTGAACAGTTCTGCTTTGATGACGGGGGGGAGCCAATGCAACACAGGAGTTCTCGTCACAGACAAATGTCAGAACGACTCTCACCTTCGAGAGGAAGTCGGCTGAAGTGGCTTGCCTGCCACATACGCATCTGCGGATCTCATGCGCTGCCAGTGAAAGCTGCCTGTTTAGAACTCGAGCCCCATTCGGTCGGAACAAGTATGAAAGTTTTCCGGCAGATGCAAACAGCTGCCAGCGCTGCAATTCATAACCCGTGGAATCATCCAAAAAGCCACTATGGTTCCTGCCTGGCACTTTCATATCCGCGAGGACCTCCGGGATCAAGATCTTAAGTTCAGACAGCCAGAAGCTTCTCTTTGACATGGCTCATACTTGTAACAGCTTTGAATTGCGCCATTGGTGCACGGTCCCTAAACGGAATCCAGAGATCCCAATACCCCGTAATTAAGGAATGTACCTCAAATAATAGGGGGGCTTGTTATTATGATTTAAGGAATATTCCTTAATTAAGGGGTATTGGCGTCCGCGACAAACTACCGTGAAAAGCGCCTCCAGCAAGGCATACCAACGGCCCAGCCAGCGTGGCTGAAAGCCCTGGGGCACCTGATTCCCGGGTTTGGCTCAGGGCCTATATATATATATATATATATATATGATAGGGGTTCGTCGCTTCACGTTGACGGAAGAGAGTTCGACCACATGCCAGGCAAAAACGTGATCAGCACGATGAAGCTCTGTAAACATGATGTCTCTGCCCTTGTCAAAAGCTTCCAGCTTCCCTATACAACTTCGTGAAGAAGCCTGTGCTCAGTGCCGATACCTGGACCCCAGCCCTTTGGATCAGGATGCTGGCCCCGTCGAAGCCGAGGCGGTACAGCAAGTCCTTCGAGTAGCAATGTGCAAGCTCACACAGCTCGTCGTGCTGCTCTCAATAAGGATTCTCTTTGATACCTTGCTGCAGCTGTTACTCCACTGCAATCGTATGACGATCCCAACAGAGACGCTAAATTAGAACATATTAGAACAAGCCCAGTACTTGCCCAGCGAGCCCTAGTTTGGAACTTGCCAAATGCCAATTTCCCAAAATTTCCCGAATCCCCGAACCCCTTGCAGTCGATCCCAAAACGGCAGCGCTGAACCCCAGCGAAGTAGCCCCCTTAAACCCTTTTAGACCAGTCGTAGACCCTGAAAGCCTAAACCCCCCCTCCCCCTCCCCTCCCGAAAATAGGGGACCCCAATATAGTACCCAAAATAGTAAGACCCTTATTATCATGATCCCAAAATCAGGTACCCCAATTGTCGGAAACTCCCAAGTGGGAACGTTTGAAACCCTGATCCCTGCCGAGCCGCGGGCGCAAGTCTTGGGCTGGGTCAACCTCCAGGGCCTCGGTAGCTTCGGGTTTTCAAGCTTGAGGGAGGTAGGGCTTGGGGATTCAAGGTTTAGGGATTCAAGGCTTGGGGATATTCTAGGGTTTAGGGATTTAGGCTTTGGGTTTTGAAGGTTGAGGGAGGTGGTTTCAGAATAGGGTTATGGGGTACATTATAACTCCATAGAACCCTAGTAGTGACAGGGGCTTGGGGATTCAAGGTTTAGGGATGTAGGGTTTAGGGATTCAGGCGTTTTCAAGGGATGAGTACCGATGTGTCATATAACCGAGTGTGGCCAAAATTTGTCTAGATACCACGGAGACATCCGACAGGAACGCATGCAGTTGATAGTGAATACACATAAAACGGGAATGTTGAGACAATGATTGTGTTCGATGCCCCTGAGCCCGAAAACTAATGGGCTTGTGATTGGCGGTTCGAAGTTTGGGGCTTGGGAATTGGGTTTCGGGAGTCGGCTTACGTGTTGAAGGCACGATGTTGTCTCGCTCTGCTTTCAGAATATAGTGGCTAAGCCGAGCGAATGCGATGTTGTGAGGCTGATGGCGTATGTGCTAAAACCCGACACCTTAAGCCCGAAATCCACCACCTCGGGTTTACCCCTGACGATCTGGCTCATCCATCTCGACCAACTCTGACGTCGATTGGCCGGCTTCGTTAACACTGAAGCAATCCTGCCGGCGTGGGAGTGCGCCGAGGGCACATGATATTATTGGGCATGAACTTGCTGGAATCAGTTAGGAATCCTAAGCAAACTCTGCACCTAAAGCCTTAAAGCATGGCCTTCAAAGAAACCAGGACGTAGGCCTGGCGACTCGCACCTGCAGCTGTGAGGTATCGTGCGTGCAAAAGCATGTGTGCAAGATTTGGGAAGGGGGGGCGTGCAAGATGTGCTACGGGGCAGGCGGAACTGTACAAGAAGGGATACGGTAGATGGCGAGACAAGTAATACGAAAGCAAAAGTGGACGAGTCAAACGCGAGATTGTAGTGGGGTGTGTAGCACAGGATAACTGCTGCCAGAAACTGTCTGTGCACGCCTGGGCATCTCATCGCATAGATGACGGCGTCGTGCTGTGCTGACTTGACAAGACGCTGAACCCTCTACTGCGCTGCAGAGGGCATGCCTTTCAGCAACTTTGTGCTGATGATGTCGTGATACCTCGTGCAGCTGCACAAGGACAGTTACGGCCAGGCGCGCATGAAAGCTTCTGTGGCCCAAAACTCGGCCAAACGGTACCAATGGTCTGCAACCCTCGTGGTCCAAGCCCCGGACTCTGCAAGGCTCCTGGAAGTTTGCCACAGCAAAAGATCGCGAGGCCAGGGGAACAGCTTACTAGCTGCAAGAGGACGGCTGCAGTACCGAGTGGAATAACTTGCTACTCTTGACGACCCTCCCGATCTATCCTCACCCGCTCCTGTGGCCGACAAGTTTATCAGCCCAGAAGCAGCTTTCCCGGAGTCGCGCTGACTCGTAGTGTGGGTGGCACACAATTCCTCGGCTCAAGCAGCAATCTAGCTTCGTCTCTTAGACATTCGCAGCCCATTGTCCGCTTCGAAGCATTCAGAACCAGATGACAGCAGATGCAGCCCAAGTGGCCCCGGCGCGCATGTAGGCGAACCTTGGTAGAAACGATGGCTGCTTTGGGTTAAAACCCCAGGCCTACCTCAACCACAGAAGTCCAAACTCGAGATGACCTGTTTGCTTAATAGCAAAACAGTGGGGGTTAGGAAGAACGAAGGGATGAAGTGAGGGAGGGAGGAAGGGAGGGAAAGGAAGGAAGAAGGCAAGGACACGGGAAGATAATCAGAGGACAAACGAAGGAAGCCTCACGAAGCCAACCTGCTGCTCCGGGTTCACTCTTTTGGCGAGCAGCCAATGCCGAAGTGCCCATGCCTCCAATGAGGATATCTTCCGGAGATGTATGGTTCCTCGGCAGCGCACAGCAGGAGCACGGAAGATAGCATCTGATGCGGGAGGCGCATTGAACTTCCGCTCTTTCCGCCGTAACGTTCTGCCAAGCTTCCGGACCCAAGACATGACACGTTCTCGCTCCACCTGACAAGGTGCGGTTCTGTTTGTTGGCGGGGTCTGCGAAGCTGCAGGTTTCACGTTTCACCACCTTTGTCGCGCATCCGCAAGCCCCACTCAAGTGCCTTCTCCTCATCTCTGCTCTGCGTCTGGTGGCCTGACAGCATCTCTTGACCCGCCCTGCAGTCCCATACTGAGGTCTGAGTATGCTTTCTAATGGAAGACTCTGGAACCAAAGCTGCCAAAAGAACATGGACCCACGCTGCCAAAAGCACATGGCCGTATGGCCATATTCATGTCTTTCCGGCGATTATGATTCGAAGCGTGCTAATACTCACGCCCATATTCTTTACCGTTGCTAGCAGTGTTAAGATGTTCCAACATCCCAGGCTGTGGATGTCTTCAGAGTCATTGCCTTGGCTCCAGGAAACTCCAGCACGGTAAAGGTTCGCTTCCGCCATGGCCAGGAGAGCCACGACCTTTACTACTCGTCGGGCCGTAGGGCGCAAACTCATCGGGCTTGTTGCAGCCTACTTCGGAATGAACAGCAAACGCAGGGCAAACTAAAGGTGCGACAAACACAAATGATGCTGCAGTAAGAACAACGTTGAAGATTCATTCACGACACTGAATGCTGCCAACGTCGAAAGGATAGTGTTAAGTGTTGGAAAGCTGGACTTCACGAAGTGGATGATGATTGTCAGCGGGCGCTGGGCTTCCTTCGTGCCGGAGACTTCCAACGGCCCTGGCCTGACTTACGCAGAACTTCTTTGACTGCTCTGCTTCTGTCAAGAAGCCAGCGGTCGCCGAAAGCGGCCAACGGGAATCTCAGCCAGCGAAGAACCTAGCCTTCAGAGGGCGGGCGGGGCAGCTGCATGGGGTAATAAGATCCAAAATCTAAATCTCTTCCAGGCAGCAGAACCAAGTGCGGGAAGAAGAGCATGCCTCCGTCTTCGATGCCACGGCCATGCTCCCGACAACATGCTGGCGTGGCGACTGTGGCACAGATTGCTGCCAGGTATCGGTATCTCAGCATGAGGAAGAAGAGCGGAGCAGTGGCCAGGCCAAGGAACAGCCTCAGTTTTCTGACGGCTTGACATGTGTGCTCGGGTTAAGAGGTGCGGGCGTTCGGACCCTACTAGAATCCTTAAACCACCAATGCTGCGAGTGCACCGCAAAGCAGCGGCAAAGTCGCAGCGAATGCTAGCCAGTGCGCCCAAAAGGCCTGCACCCACTGTGATCTCAGTACAAACTTCGCAAGCTGGAGCACTATCGGCCAGACTGTTTCGGGTAGAGTCAAAGCAGAAAGCTCTCCTTCGTGGCCGCAGAAGCGGGGCCCCTCTTCTCCCCCTGCCTGCTGCAAACAAGGGCGCTGGAAGCTCCTTCACAGGCCCAGAGGTAAGGCATGAGGATTCAAAGGCACACAATGCTCATCACTCATCACTATTGAAGTCACTATTGCTTAAATCCGCGTGCACCCGTCGATGCCGGTACTCGTACGATTTTCCGGCTGCTGTACCACCATATGCACCACCAAGGAGCAAGTCGTGCCGACGACTCCTGGAACAACATGAAGAAACCTGTGTCGAAGACTGAACTCCAAAGCGGAGTGAAGCCATGGAACCCAAGGCTTTCACTCAGTCTTGGAGTCAGACTTGTGGGCACCACTGTGTTGTCTGCCTCGGTGGGCTTGCCTGCAGATTGAACCATTGCTTTCACAGGCGCTTGCGGAGACCAAGTCTCTCAAAGAACCTTCGTCGCAGTGATCACCCTTTATCCGATGCCTGGGATGGGATACAAGAGCAGATTATGCTCATGTATGCCATCCCGTGCAAGTCTGCTGGCTGGTTGTTTCGGATGCAGCGCCACTTGTACACATGGCCCATGGCCGTAGGTGCCTGGTCATTACACAGCAGAGCCGAATGGGCGCAGCACAGTTGAGGAGCAACTCGATGTGCGCCCCAAGGCTGCCAAAGCGAAGCTATGCTTGTGATTCCTTCCTATAATACAACTATGAAGACACAAGATCATCCTGTATGTTTTACGTATCTGGCAGGCTTTTGCTCGGCTCCGCTTGCAGGCCATGGCCCGGGCACAACCGCTGCAAAAGGACTGCCGACAACAAAAAATATTGTTACTATTGCTGTTGCTGTGTAACACAAATCGACTGGCTCTGGAAAGGAGCTGGAGTCCCGAAGCGAGGGCGAGCTGAAGCTCCGCTGGCCGGCGTAGAGGGCCGCCTTCAGTCGACTTGGAGGACTTGAACTATAGGCCGCCCCTTGGGAATGGATTCCACAGCCCATCTGGAGGAATCTCACGGTGGTTGTTGGCTGTTAACGATGGCGCGCAGGGCTGTTGAGGTTCATCTTTGCCGCATGGGCACAGCACGTTTAATAAATGACAGCAGAGCTCGGGATAAAGTCGGTTCGTCGGCAAACGGTTGGCTACATGTACACTGTTCCACCACAGTAAGGTGCGCTCATGATAGTCCAGCTTCCCGGGCACGGCGACGAGGCGGGGCAAGACGTCGTGCAGCAGCCCCTGTGCAGGTATGGCACAAGATGCACAAGTCCCGCATCCCCCAATAGCATGAGCCAATGCGCTCTTATACGCGTGTGTATAGTTATGATGTGTGTATATGTATGTGTATATGTGTATATGTGTGTATATATATATATATATATACATACATATGTGTTTGGCTACATAGATACACGCACACATATATGTCATGTACAGCCATATATACACATGTATGGGTATGTGTGTATATATATATATATATCGCAGAAGTGTGCGTGTATACGTATACATACATATAATATTATATATATATATATATATATATATATATATACATATATATATATATATATATATGTAACTATATACTTTAGGCTGAATACGTTGAGGCTCCCCGCGGCGAGCTATTGCAAGGAACCCCGCCCCTCACTCCACCACACAAGACTTGAATACTACTGATGTCGTCAGCATACAATGAAAAGTCCGACAACATGCTCTGTAAGTCGCCCTCTCCACCACCTCAACTGCCTTGAGCCACATAGCAATATGCTCCCGACTGCAAACAGCTGGACAGTCGCGAATACCGATCGCTAAGGCACCTGTAAACTGTAAACTGCAGAATGCCGCAGTTCATGCCGCAGTTCATAAACTAGCGGTCCCCAGAGTCAGTAGAGCCGAGGGCTGGCGCAATACTGGCTAGAATCCTGTTGCTGTTCTGATGCACGTCTCAACCGCTACAATCTTGACAGTTCCCACCATGCTTTTGTAATCCTGAACACAGTCCGCTCTGAGTCCCCAAAGACAAAGACAAACATGTGGATGGGTGAATCACCTGCAGCAGTTTGCTTTTCCTGGGATACATGCATGAATCATTGTGTAGACCCTGCTTTGCTCCTGACTTCTTGATGCACCTTCCGAGATCACAAAAGTCCAGATTTTCAAGACCCAAACGTCTAACATGCACGAACATCCATAAACGAGGCTCCAAGACGAACATCGCGCGCACGCTTGTCGTCTTAGTCTCTATGACATTCAATGTATTCACTACAAACTCAGGAACAGCTCTTTGTAGTCCTGAAGATAATGCAGTTTCTTCATCGGCATCAATATGTGGCCCAATCCGTCTCGATAAATGTGCCACAATGAATTTCACTGTTGCGGAACTTGAGCTTCAAGCTCTTCAGTGCATGGCTAAATGCATTGCGTGTTAGGCCTAGCTGCGGATGGTTCATGTTCGCACAAGCACATGTAGATACTTGGAGGACTTCTACCATATGTGTTCATCTATTTAGTTCGTAAAATTCCCTTTCGTTTACGCACATGTACATATGCATGCATATGTGTGCATATATGCATATATACACACTGCCTGCATACAGACACAGTATCACGCAGATGTATGCGCAGATGTATGTGAACATGCATGCGCATGTAGCTACGCATGCATCGATGCCTGCACGAGCATCTGCGCATACATGTGGGTGTGCAATGGTACAGACTGATTGTATGTGTGTATATACATATATACTGCTATTTATATATGTATATGTGTACACATGTTTTTATTTATACTAATACACAGTGTGTGTATCTGCGGATCCGTCTATCTGCTTCTCCATCGCTCTACAGGTATACGTAAACAAACAGTCTAGTTAGTTAAGACCATACAACTAATTGTCTATTTGCTTACCTATATATGTATATGTGCATATACACGTCATGTTTTTTACGTATATGTCTGTGCAACATGTGCTTGTGCATGTGTATGTATGTGCATTCATACGTACGTACGCATGCATGCCCACGGGTATGTTGGTGTTTGTTTGCATATGCGTATCCATACATGCATGCATAGATACATACATACATGCATACATACATGAAAAAATGGGTACATACATACATACATACACTCAAGTAAGAAGTGTTATGTGCAAAGGTATGTACATCGACGGTAGAGCCAGCTAGCTCCAAGCCTGGACTCTGAAGAGCAGGAAACTCTGGATGTGTGCGTCGTCCTCGCGGGCCGAGTTCTCTTTGATGGTGGACTTTCCGACAGTTTTGGGATGTAATGGAGTGCTACACAGAGCCCTCACCCCGTAGCTCCTCTGATGGAGGCAGCGATAGCCGGAGCAAAGCTGCGACTGCAACCCACGACCTCCAAGCCAGCAGAAGGCAGCCTCTTTCTGGTGTCTCCAAGAGATCCCAATACCCCTTACGTAAGGAATGTACCTTAAATCATAATATTAGGGCCTCCATAATTTAAGGTATCGTCCCTAATTAAGGGGTATTGGATTCTCTGGGCTGATGCCCAGCCGAGCCGCACAAAGCCCAGGAGCAGCCCCTGCCATCTCGGCCGCTCCGTGTATAAGCGAAGCGCCACCACTGACGCCACTGAGACACAGAACAGGGGCGACCTGCAAAGACAAGCCCAAGCGTGCAAGTCTGTCCTTCGGGCTGCAGCATGAATCTAATTCTGGCAGATTTGTTGTTCTGCTTGAACAGGCTTGCTATTCACTGTACTTGCCATAGTCGTTTGCCTATTCTGCCGTGATGATAATACAGTGGACGCGTCGAGCGGAATTGAAAATGGCAGTTGCCTGCGGACTCATACATCTAAGCCTGCGTTGAAATAAGGAGTACAGGGAGAGGACATCTACGATTCCGAGACCACCCTGCTAGTGCGAAGCAATCAGCTACTGGATGACACTATGGTTGCCATATGTTGCCATTACACAAGTTGTACAAACTCTACTGCATAGTACCGGCCAAGTGCCAAGTTGCCCACCTGACCGCCCAGGTGTCTCCCAAGCGGAGACAGGAGCTGAGCAAGATGGACCACCTCAAGCTGCCGAAAAAAGAGGTTCAAAGCCTGTAGCAGACTTCGGGCTTTAGGGTCTTACGAATGCCAAGCCACACGTACAGCTGCGACACCACTGCTAGGAAATCCACCGAGATCAGCTGGAGCAGCATCATCGCATGAAGTGCACCAGCCTAGAAGCAGCTGTGGAAACCAGGAAAATGCGTTGGGTAGGTAGATCGGGCCTGCAGTAGGAGGGCAAAGCAGGAGAACTGCCAAAGCAGCAGAAATCCGGTGAAGCTGAGCAGAAGAGGAAGCTTCTCGCGAAATGTAACCTAAGCGATCGGGCTTTTGCACAGCGCGGTACGTCTCAAAGTCAGGGGTTCTTCCGAGTACCTGCAGCTTAAAGGGTAGTACGAAACGCAGCTAGACTCTTGAGATCAGACCTGACAATGGGATTCCGGGATTGGGCAACCTCGCGACCTGACCTCGCGGCCTCGCGGCCTCACGGCCTCACGCCCTCGCGGCCTCGCGCCCTGACCTCGCGGCCTCGCGCCCTGCTCGCGGCCTCACGGCCTCACGCCCTCGCGGCCTCGCAGCCTCACGCAGCCCTCGGCCTCGCGCCCTCTCGCGCCCTGACCCTGACCTCGCGGCCTCGCGGCCCGGCCTCACGGCCTCTCGCGGCCTCGCGCCCTCGCGGCCTCACGCCTCACGCTCTCGCGGCTCGCGCCCTGACCTCGGGCTTCGCAGCCTCACGGCCTCACGTCCCGCGGCCTCGCGCCCTGACCTCGCGGCCTCACGGCCACGCGCCCTCGCGGCCTCGCCCCTGACCTCGCGGCCTCGCGCCCTGCTCGCGGCTCACGGCCTCACGCCCTCGGCTCGCAGCCTCACGGCCTCACGCCCTCGCGGCGCCCTGACCTCGCGGCTCGCGCCTACTCCTGACCTCGCGCCCTCGCGGCCTCACGGCCCTCACGGCCTCGCGGCTCTCGCGCCACCTGCGCCCACGGCCTCACGCGCGGCCTCGCGCTCCTGTCCTCGCGGCCTCGCGGACCCGCGCCTCACGGCCTCACGCCCTCGCGGCCTCGCGCCCTGACCTCGCGGCCTCGCGGCCTCACTCGCGGCCTCGCGCCCTGACCTCGCGGCCTCGCGGCCTCACGGCCTCACGCCCTCGCGGCCTCGCGCCCTGACCTCGCGGCCTCGCGGCCTCACCGCCTCACGCCCTCGCGGCCTCGCGCCCTGACCTCGCGGCCTCGCGCCCTCACGGCCTCACGCCCTCACGGCCTCGCGCCCTCACAGCCTCGCAACCTCGCGGCCTCGCGGCCTCGCGCCCTCACAGCCTGTCGTTGTTGCTGTTGTTGCTGCTGTCATTGTTATTGTTAGTGCTATTGTTATTGTAATTGTACTTGTAGTTGTTACTGTTACTGTTACTCTTACTGTTACTGTTACTGCTACTGTTACTGTTACTGTTACTGTTACTGTTATTGCTATTGCTATTGCTATTGTTATTGTTATTGATATTGTTATTGCTATTGCTATTGCTATTGTTATTGTTGTTGAGGTTGTTGTTGTTGTTGGTGGTAGTGGTGGTAGTGGTGGTAGTGGTGGTGGTGGTGGTGGTGGTGGTGGTGGTGGTGCTCGTGTTGGTGTTGGGGTCGGTGTCGGTGTTGGTGTTGGTGTGGTTGTGGTTGTATTGGTTGTTGTTGTTGTTGTTGTTGTTGTTGTTGTTGTTGTTGTTATTGTTGCTGTTGATGGTGTTGGTGTGGTGTTGGTGTGGTGTTGGTGTTGGTGTT